GCGATCTTGACGGCACTTACGATAACTACGCCAACTTGGCGGCACTTACGATAACTACGCCATGTTTGCGGCACTTACACTAGCTGTATTTAATTAATTATTGGAAGGGATTGTTAGGACTATAACTGGAACTGATTTCATGAATTATATAATAAAAAAGAACAACTTTAAAGCAATGAATAGTTCATACTGACCTGGAGAGGGGCATTCAGTTCAAGGGAATGACACCGGCATTACCTGAAATTCCTAACTTGATCAATTAAACAGCATGTAGCCTATTTCCTGCCCAGTGGGGCTAAAATTGTTGCTTGTGATCTCAAATATTATTTGTTTTTACATGACTATATTTTTAACCCCCCAAAATTGACAATAGCTGTCATTTTTAAAACCAGAAAATTGAATTTCTAGCTTAAAATTCTTTTTTTTTTTTTTTTTTTTTTAACTATAATTTGGGGCCATATAATATTTTATTTTTTTTTTATAATTTGAGGCCATATAATAATTTATGTTTTATTTCCCAAGACAAAAGAAGTTGGTTAGAAAGTCTTAACATGATGGAAAGAGTGAGAGATATATTAAACAATTAATTAAAACTTAAGTTCGTTGTGAAAGCTGTCGAGCCAGTTCAAAACTAGAAACTATAACTTCAGAATTGATTAGGACAAAATTTAGCAGTAGAGTAGATTTGTGAGATTTTTGCAAGGAACTGACAGCTAGAAACAATCCATGTTACCTGAAGAATACATTTTGACCTCTTTAACAGCAATTACCTCCAATTTATACGCATAGAATCGTGTCAAAACAAGGTGCTTTTTAACTAGGATGAGAACCCCTGTGTTAAAGCCCCAGAACCAATATGATTTGTATGAATACAGGACTTTAGAAGGTTAGCTGTGTGAAGTTGTTTTTTTTTAAAAATAATATTTTGGGGAAAATCCCATTACATATAAGTTTCCAGAGTTGTATTCAAATTAATTTTTGTGCAGTATATGTCGAACACACTAAGTTATGTTTTTTTAGATCTGCACACCCAGTCTTATTTGTTTCCGTATGTTAGTTTACCACAATATCATATTTGATGTAGTGAAATCGTATTTTGATAATGATAATTCGTATATAGTATCTTATGTCAATCAAAGCTTATGACAAAAGTAGGTTTTAAAAGTTTAAGCTACAACCAAAACGATCTTTTTAATTCAACAATTTATGGTAAACAAAGTCTATTTAAAAATATCGTTTTCCTAGCCAATGATAATTTTGACAAAGGAAAGCTTATTCATTTGTAGTAGTGAGGGACGACATATTTACTGCCTAAGATGAGTGCATACCACATAATCTCGTAGCTTTTAAAAAAAATATTTTGAATAAATAATTCAATACGAGCATTATGCAATCAGCTTCTACCTAAAATACAGACAGCACTTTTTAAATTGTTATATGAGAATACATTCATTAAAACCAAATTAACATACACTCATACAATTATTTTATGTATGAAACGAGAAGGTGAGTTTTTTAATTGTTACATTAATATGTTTGGTTGTTGTTGTTGTTGTTGTTTTTTTGTTGTTCTTTTTAAATAGATTTTACATTTTAAAATTTTGTATAAAAAGTAAATAAAGTTAACAGATTTAAGTATCATTACATCACAATGTAGCTCTCTCACTTAAGTGTCCAAGATCACGGACAGTTCTCTCGGTTTCGTTTATTTTAAACAGATAACAAATGTTAGTCGACTGTTCTGTCGAGCCTAATCTCATGACCGTGGTCAGTGCGTCACATGCAAGCCCCATCACTTCACAAGAGCGACCATCACACTGGGGCTGTAAAAAAACGTCTTGGTTTGCGCCCCCATTCCTTGACTCTTGCTCCCTTCTTTTGGTGACGCTCGATTTCTGGCATTTCTTCCGTTTCTCTTTATTTATTTTTTTATGTGCTAGCTTCCATGTTTGGGTTCAGCCCCAATCATCACCGCGTCTTGGGCCACTTTATGAGGATTTTGGGTTCTTTTAAAGTAATCGCCTTACTTTTCATCTCTGTAAAATTGAGTTTCTTTCAGATAGCTACCCATTTTGGACTTTTTTATGCATTTGGGACTGCTTCTTTGCCTTTGACCTTCAATAAAAACATGGCTGTCGCACCAGTTCAACACCAGGCACAGAAACATTGCAAATCCCTTCTAAATGGATAGGAGCCAAAATGATCAATAAATTGATCGGGGGCCCTTAATATTTAGGATAAGACACACCGTTTATGAAATAAGACACATCATTTATGATAAGACACAATAATTATGAAATAAAACACAACGTTATGAAATAAGACACAACGTTTATGAAATAAGACACTATATTTATGAAATAAGACACAACGTTATGAAATAAGACACACTATTTATGAAATAAGACACAATATTTATAAAATAAGACACAACGTTTATGAAATAAGACACAATATTTATGAAATAAGACACAATATTTATGAAATGAGACACAGCGTTTATGAAATAAGACACAATATTTATGTAAGAAGACACAGCGTTTATGAAATAAGACACAATATTTATGATAAGACACAATATTTATGAAATAAGACACAACGTTATGAAATAAGACACTATATTTATGAAATAAGATACAATATTTATGAAATAAGACACTATATTTATGAAATAAGACACAACGTTATGAAATGAGACACAATATTTATGAAATAAGACAAAACATTTATGAAATAACACACAACATTTATGAAATAAGACACAACTTTTATGAAATAAGACACAACGTTTATGAAATAAGACACAATATTTATGAAATAAGACACAACGTTTATGAAATAAGACACAATATTTATGAAATAAGACACAATATTTATGAAATAAGACACAATATTTATAAAATAAGACACAATCTTTATGAAATAAGACACAACGTTCATGAAATTAGACACAACGTTATGAAATGAGACACAATATTTATGAAAAAGACACAATATTTGTGAAATAAGACACACCATTGTGAAGTAACCAAGAAAACTTTTATTGAACTCAACACAATCATGAATTAAACACATCTACATAATGAAATTCACAAAGAAATTATTATGCAATAAAAAAAAAACACTAACAGAGCCACTAGTTAGACACTATGGAGTACTGAGCGATCTCACTCAGAGTTTCAATATGAAGCTTTTATCTGGTTATAACATAGGGTGGGATGGGGAGGAAATACATGAATGCTACCGTTACAAATGTTTGACTGTTACACAGAAATTATTTCCCGAAGAGGTAATCTGTTCAATGCAAGTCCTCAACGCCTATTTACAAAGCCTTATTATGGACAGACCAGCGACATAACACAAGAAAAGCTTAGATATCACTTGCCGGTGAGACCCATCGTTATCTTTTCACTTTGTCACGCGGTTCTGATAAGTTATTCATCAATTCATATGGCTGATCGCTTGAGGGGAGGTAAAAGGAATGAATTTGAAAGAGTCGAGGAATATCGTCAAATCAACAGTGTGAATCACATTTCACGTGGCTAATGCAGGTGTTATTCGAATGGATCCCTGGGTTTGTGAAGAGAGATGTTTGAGTGTTCACCACAATTGAGCTTCCCGGGTGATGACATTTGAAACTGAAGGTAATGTCAATGGAGACACGATCAAAAGACCAAAAAATGTCTTTGGGGGAAATTTAAGGGAATGATATCAAAGTATGTTACTTGTACAAATAAATGCAACTGTCTACTACAAAATGTAAATTGAATGACTATTTCTAAAAACGCTTTACTTAAAAAAATGATTTTTATCAACTTTCTATTGTTGGTGGTAGGAGAAAGAAAAAGCAAAAAAAGCCCTACTAATATTACCATTTGCATCTTTGACCTACTTATTCTTACTGTTATTCTCTAATAGGAAATAATAAATATGCAAGTTGTGACAAAACATATTGAACCATAATCTTTTCAAATATTTTCTCTTCAGCAAGAACATAAATGTTGAAAATGAAAACACTGATTCGTATTATTTCCCCCAAATTTTTTCACAAAGAAGGGAGATTATGAAATGATGCAGAGGAAAATTTGTGCAAATGCATAGAGTTATACCGACAAAGGTCGTGAAAGAAATGTAAATGTTACATAGTAAAATTTTAGTTATCTGAGTAAGTAGACATAATTACTGCTGTCACGAAAGGTCTGATTATCGGAAGCCAATATACAGCTTCATAAACATCTCTAGCTACTGATCCCATGTAGTATTCATAAGAGTTCATTGAACGGTGAATCTTGACAACAGCTGAAGGAGCAACTAACATAAAATAGACCAACGAAATAACCAGAAGTCTGGCAACTTTATGCGTTGAGTTGGACGTTACTTTCTGTGACGTGACTTCCTCTGATGTAACTACCTGTTCCATGGGAGCAGCAGCGGCCACTAAATGACCAGGGTGGCTTGTGTAGTGTGGCCGAGATGGTAGCGCCCACGGATGTGTTGTTGGTAGGTTGTAAAACTGTTGTGGACTGTGAGGATATTGTGCTCGACTCAAAACAGCTAACCCTTCATCCATTAAAGGTTGCAGATATTGATTTTCTGGATCTGTTGGAATAGGTTCTTGTTGTTGAACATTTGGAATATTCTCATTAGCCGAGTTTTGAACAGTAACTATGTTTTTTGGGTTATTGCTTACTGCCTGATGGTTTGGGACTTTGACTTTGCACTTGACAGAAATAGTAATAATTACGGTGGTAATGACAGCGCCCCATGCTGGTAGCAAAATGCTTACAACTATCAAAGCATAACTCTGACCCATGCTCTTTTTCCCCTCGCAATTTTCCATATCAAAGTTAGCCAAACCAAGAGGCAATACAATGATAAGTCCAAGTATCCATGGTATACTGCTGGCAACCATGGAGCAAATGATTTTGGATTTTTTATTGAACTTAGAGATCCTGTGGTGTTGAATTGTTTCTAATCCCAATACCATTAACCCAAGGCCGTACACGAAATTAATGAGATAGCTCTGGTAAACATCGGAAGTCATAAGTAAACGGCAGGCTTTGATCAATGACAACACGTCTTCTTCTTCAAACACAAATAGCGTGTGCACTACCATGGGAAACAGAGCCATAAGAACATCTCCAGTGGCCAATGATAAAATTGTCAGAGTTTTTGGCTTATACATGAAATCACATTTACGCAAATTCTTGAAAATAAGAAAACTGTTAGCCAGTACAATGAGGATGATGAAAATAATCTTTAACATAATGCGCACCTCTCCCGCATAAGACAACTTGTTTTGAAATTTACTTGACTTAAAAACCTGTCTCAAGGTTGAAACTGAGCCGTGCATCAAGTACTCTGTAGAGAGAGACACATTTTCACAAATATTTTAAATTTAATGAAATAGAAATTATAATAAATCTAAGTCCCAAGTTAGTACCTAACGCTACATTTACACAGAAGCATACACATACAAAATCATCAAATAATCAATTGTATAGTGTACATCTATATATATATACTTATATATATATATATATATATATATATATATATATATATAAATGTAAAGAACCCGGTTCAACCCTAAGGTTCGATGGCTCCGTTCTGTCTAGGGGTTAATTATATTCACAGAAACATACACATACAAAAACATCAAATAAACAATTATATAGTGTATATATATATATATATACATATATATATATATATATATATATATATATATATATATATAAATGTAAAGAACCCGGTTCAACCCTAAGGTTCGATGGCTCCGTTCTGTCTAGGGGTTAATTATATTTACTCCACAAACCATTGATCATTAATATTAAAATATAGTATCTTTGTTGACTAGATCTCAACTGCCATTGCTACAAGGACCACACTCCACAATAATAATAATGATAATAGGTCATACTCTCTTTCACACAATACGTCACAAAATATCAAACATTTAATTACAACATCTATCCAAATACTCTCCAAACAATACGCAATTATAATATACATTCAAGTCCTTAACAATATATATAAATTTATATAAATTTCTATATGTATATAAATGTATATATGTATTATATATAAACGTATATTCTTGACAATAGTTTTAAAACTTAAAATTTTCAATTAACACTTAGCTATCTACGTGTGATATATTGTAATTCATATATATATATATATATATTGATGGATGTAAAACATGAAGGCTACTAGGTGTGAAACAGGGGTATGCAATATATTCATGCGCTTCAATCTTGGTGTAGTTATTATTTTTAATTTACTATTACACAAATTTCTTTTTGTCCTGCCCATTAACACAATCCTCTATCCCTCCACGTCTTGTCTCCGCACATATCTTTAATTTAATTTCTCCTTCTTAGAGCTCCCACAAATCATCAACAACCCGAAAAACAGAATGACACAACCAAAGCTCCACTACTGAAACACCACAATGATCAGCAGTTCATTCTACATTGAAACGGCCCCTTCAATACTTCCCCAGAGCCCAGCATTAGCGATGTGGTCGCGGCCCACTCGATCATTGTGATCACAATAATGACAAGTGTGTCCTCCTTTGGGACGTTACCAATGACAGGCTGGAGATCCTCTTTGTAAGTTCCTTCTCTTCGTCCGGGTTGTTCATTTCTGGAGAAAGGCAGCTGACGATATTGAGGTGCGTTGATCCAAAGGAAGTTTTATTGTCTTTACCTTATGGTGAATCCCTTCGGAAGTCAAACCGGCTTGCAAGTCATTGTAGATTTGATGCATCACCCAACACCATCATCAGGGTGATCTTGGCTCTCTGGGGCTCTTCAAAAGAGCGTCCACCCAGAGCCCCTTTCACTCTCCTTCAAGCCAGTTCTCGCTAAAAGCAGCAATTTTTACCTTGGCAACGTTACATTTCCTTTTCTATAGGGATATTTTCTTCAGAGGTCTAGCCTTAAAAATTATTGTACCATTTAAAAGATTTTTAAGGTAAAGCCACGGCTGCGGAAAAATTTTGCAGGAATTTAATCTATAACTATTCTCCATCTAGATAGACCTGACCATGGCTTGGAACATTGTTAAAATGAAATAAAAAGTTCTTTGGAAGATCACCGGCCAATACTTCGGCAATTTAATTGAACATGCAAGTAAGGTTCTGTGAAAACGGTGAGTCGTCTTTACAATTCCTTACACCCAATCGCATCCAAAAAGTTTGCGTCCTGGCACCAAAACTTTTGAGATTAATATTTCCCGCCATGCGGACTGTAACTTCCAGAGGAGAGGGACGTGCTAGTATCGGCATCAAAGATCGAACTAACGGTGATCTATTTAAACTGAAATTGCTACACGCCAAAATACATTCCTGTATGCCGACTACGGTGCTCGTTGACGTTGGATCAGAAGCGAATACGCAACGCAGTATTTCTAATTTCTCCAATTCCTGCACAAATTATGATCTGTCCATTGATAAGAAGAACAGAACCTCATGTTCAGAATCAACCAGCACCTCGAAAACCGTATGCTGAGCCGTATAGCCAAAGCCAATCTTGAAAGGCTTAAGGTAGTAACAGCTTCATTTACCTTGGCAGCACAATGTCCACCAGCTTTACCATCGACGTCGAGTTTAATCTTCGTAAAGGCAAGATACAGTGGGACTTATGGTCTACAAATTAGGAGGGAAAAATCCATTTTAAATACCGTAGAGAGGTACCGACGGCTTGGTGAAATCGAACCAGCCTTTCTAATGCAAAATAACTGGGTGGGCGGCAGGAGACTAAAGAGGTCCTCTTTCATGCACCAGGTCGTGGAGCTGGAAAGGACAGTCCTCCTGCCCCCAAATAGAGAACGCCTGACCCAAATCCCAGTTAATCCGCCTTATGTGGAACCCTCACGTCCCTACATGCATTTGGCCTTGACAGATGCAGCAGTGACGAAACGCAGCCCTGAACATGTACAGAGAGTGGCTGCCCTTGAGACCATGGATGTGTTTGCGCACATACCTGTGAAAGTGTTCACGGACGGCTCTGCAGATCTTAAGAAAAGAACTGCTGGGTACGGTGCGCTTATTCAATACCCAGTAGGTGGACCACCTAATGAAAAACTCTCCGGGCCTTGTGGGACTACAGCGTCAAACTTTGACGCGGAGCTCATTGCTATTCACATGGCCCTGGAGAGAGTCCATATTACTCTGGGAGGGACGGAACATGCGGGGCTTGGTATTGTTGTCTTCTCAGACTCAAGATCTGCTCTTGAGATCCTGGAGAAGAGAGAGGGGACCACTCACTTGGTCGATGTCATTCACATCGACATATGGAGACTTGATGAAATAGGGTGCAGGGTTGAAGTACAATGGATACCAGGGCATGTCAACATCAGTGGCAATGAGATAGCTGACACTCTGGCGAAAACCGGGGCTGCCCAGCCTCAGCCAGAAGTACCAATGACTTTCTTGGGAGTCAAAAACTGGCTGGCGGACCACTTCAGGCAGAAGTGGTATAGGCAATGGGCTGACAACACGACCGCCAGAGGCGTCTATTCGAATTTGCCCACTCCTAGCAAACATGACCCATGGTGGGAGTTAGGTCGTAGATCGCAGAGTCTAGTGACGCCGATGCGCATCGAGCACTGCCCCTTGCGCACATATTTCTGGAGGTTGGACAACAACAGAGATCCTACCTGCCGGCATTGCAGCCTGGCCCCAGAGACCCTAGAACATCTGTTGACTGAATATCCCGCACTAGATCTCCTGGGGGAAGCCAGGGCGGTTGGAGGATCCTTTGTGAGGGAAATGTTGTATGGCTCAGCTCAACAGATGGAGTTGATAGCCAATTTACTAGCCAGGGTCAAAAGAGAGTAATCTCAGACCTTCACCAGAATATGTGCGATAGTGGGACTTATGGTAAAATGATGAGACAAGGAGAGCACTTAAATTAGGTAAACTTTTTTTAACGTAGCTTCATTGTCCATGCGAAAATTGGATGGTCCATCAACGCAATGACAGAAAGCTGCGTCACTTACACGGGACAACCGTCAGAACTGATTCTCAATAATAGATGCTAAGCCAAGGTCCCAGACACTGAACTCCCACACACGGGTCTCTTTAGCCTCTATACCATTTTATTGCAGTCCTACTACTGCTTGCCCACAAAGAAGACAGGGAGGCGTTTTGCTGAAGTTGTACAGACAACTGAAAAAGCCTCACTAAAAGCTTTCGATCTGAACCCATACACACCGGTCAGCGGTGCGTTCCACTTGACAAACAGGTTCCTTACAACATGAAGCCACCTAACAGCTGCCACCAGGGCACAAAAGACAACTGAGAAAGGCGCGAGTTACGTGATGGTGACGTCCCAACAATACGTTACAAGTGATGTTCAAAAACATTTCGTGCTCTATTCGGTCTCATCTGCCATATGTGGCACGAATTACATAAATCAACCCAAGCACGAATTCGGTGGTTAAAATGTACGAGATCGATTTCCCTCAAATAGAATATAAATGATTAACATTCATTTTTGAAATAGTCACGATTAATTAACACGTAAATTAGTTTTTAGCTAAGTCTAGAAGGAAGTGGGGTTGCGAGGAACGGGGTGGGTGGGGTGGGGAGGGAGGGGGGGGGGTTCTGACCTGTCAGCACTTATTTCTTTGTTCGGGAGGCATAATTTCTGGCCAACTTTTTTCGTGGAAGGGAATGGAGAAATTCTCGACCTGTTCTTCACAGAACTTACACTCATATTCTAGAAGGAAGTGGGGTTGCGAGGAACGGGGTGGGTGGGGTGGGGAGGGAGGGGGGGGGGGTTCTGACCTGTCAGCACTTATTTCTTTGTTCGGGAGGCATAATTTCTGGCCAACTTTTTTCGTGGAAGGGAATGGAGAAATTCTCGACCTGTTCTTCACAGAACTTACACTCATCATCATCAGTGGCACTACATCGAATATAGGGTCTGGTTTACACCGTAATATCCTTCAATTCGGATCGATCCATGGCTTTCCCTCTTCATGAACCAACCCCCAATTGGTGTAAGTCCATCTCTACATCGTCGATCCATCCCAGTCTTCGACGACAGCTGTTGAACTGTCTGCCCATAGGCTTCTGCCTGTAGTTCACTTTCGCTGCTTTACAATCTGATATTCTTTCAACATGTCCTGCTCAGCGCAGTCTGACTTTTTTATTGTTGTGACTATGGGTGGGTGTTGGTACAATTGTTACATCTCTTGTTTTGTACGCAATTTCCAAACGTCTATCCCTGGGCCATATATTTTCCCGAGGATTTCCTCGCCCATGTATTGAGCAGTTTCTCTGCTTTTCAGGTAAGGAACCACATCTCAGTAGCGTACTCTACTATTAGCTACGCCAACATCTTAAACCT